ATATACCCCCAGTCTACACACACAATTAGACAAACTAGGACAAGATAATTTTATTTGAGGATGATGTCAATTTTCTCATATAAAACCAGATCATATACTATTGCATTAATCACGATTTTGCATTCAGATTAGTTCAGACAGGACTTATGCAATTAAGACACTAATTACTAACGCCTTGAATTTTAAAAGGGGAGTTCAGAGAGAAAAATGAAAGCAACTACCTTGACCAAAGATCGAAATCCTCATGAACTGTAGTTAAGGGTAGAATTCATTTGAAGACACTACCTTAATTACACTTATCGTAACATATACATAATTATATAATTGTAGATATACCTTTATTGTTCAATGTTTGGTCTTGGTTTCAATATTTCTCCATTCATCAGAAAACAGTCACTTTTATATCCAGTCGTCACTTAAACCACTCCTGAAATAATTGCGTTCACAGAATGTGGGGCAGTCTAACTTGGTTTTCTTTCCCTAACTTGCTTCGTGTTCTCTGTGACTTTGAAGTAGATGAACCACTGGGCAGAATGCAAATATCCGATGCCGCCAATTTCAAAACTGCCATACACACAAATCATTATGTATGATATAAAACGGGAAACGGAAAAATAAACTGTTTTAACATAGAACTTAAAAACAAATCCATCGTTTTCAAGATAAATGAATTAGATTGTTGTGAGAGAAAATTGAGATGGTCTGCTTCTCATCATTTCACCATTTTCTGTGTAGTTGAAGGCTCGTGTTTATACTGTTGGCAAGGTATTGAATACAGTTATCCAGGCGTATAAATATCGACGAAATCGTGCAAGGCGTTATCGCGCTGTGGTACAATTCACAATACATATCGAACAACCCTCGTAAAACACAAAGTTACACTGTTTTACCTGCTCCTAGACGTTCTAAAACGTCATCGTGTTGTTGTTTTTAATGAGGACTACCTTTTTCTCAAGTAGATTTCTTTTCAACAAAGCAATTCTTAATTTGAATTTCTAGGTTGTTTTTCGTTTTTGCTACATTTTACAGACATTATTTAGTGAATTGTTTGTAACTTACTAAATGTTGACGTGCTCTATGATCCGATTTTCGCATTTTTGAAATCAGGATAAGTTTTGAACAAATCCTGATATTTCATTTAAATTAATACAAATCATTTCGATTTCTTGATAAAATATATCTACCAAATTTGGATGCCATAAAATAAAAAAAAAATACATATGACAGAAGTCAACGACGTTTTCGAACAACCCTCGTATATTGTACGCCAGATGCCATGGGTTCGACTCCCAGTTGATACCTGATTCTTCGGTATTGTAGATATAGTTCTGCTGAAAATGTTTTGAAATGCCCCTTCCTGTGTACAATCCATTAACGTTGATAAACTTTGATCCTTTAGTTACCTCTCACCCTTCTCCCTTTGGTCCAGTATAAACCTTTAAAAAATCACACTTATGTAAAAGAAAGCTAGCATATAAGTTTCATCTTCTCTGGCCATGTGGTTCGTGAAAAAAAAAATTATATTTTTTTTACTCCTGAAAGAAATTGAACAAACCTGCATAATCCACCCTACAACTTACCCAATTCTATAACCTTAAGTAGTTTGGTCATTGAATAAAACATAGATGGGCTATTTCAAATCACTTTTCAACGCAATAATAATGCAACACTTAACACGCTTTACTAATCATGTCATTTGAAGTTAAGTTAATGGATTGATTTATATTGTTTAACGTCCTTCTGGAGAATTTTTCACTCATATGGAGACGTCACCGTATGCCGGTGAAGGGCTTCAAATTTAGACCTTAGCTCAGGACTCAGGGCCATTGAGCAGTGTAGGTTCTTTATCGTGCCAGCGCCTACTGTGACACGGGACCTGAGTTTTAGGGTCATATCCGAAACAACCTTTGTTTACACTTCTGATGCCGAGCACTTGGCGAAGAAGCAGTCACTACCTATCTTTACGTCTTAGGTTTGACGCGGCGCCGCGAACGAGAATCGAACCCGTGCCTATACATGTATCCCAATCACGAAGCGAATGCTCTACCACTAGACTACCGAGAACAGTTTTGAAGTTAGATAAAAAATGCAAACATTAATGAATATATATTATTTTTGACTAAATAAGAATCAAACCGATCTTATAAGTAGGGTAAATTAAATTGCTGCATCTTTATCTACATGTTTAGAGATAACGTCAGTCGGTAGGGAGAGTGCTAACGTAAAGAAGAAGTCTCATCAATAAGGCATTATATGGGTCCAGGGTTACTCTTCAAATTTTAATCTTTCATTAAAAAACTTAAAAAGTAAATTATAATATTTTCTCATGTCTCTAGTATTTGCGTCAACGTTTAAAAATGTCAAATAATTGAAATAGACAACACGCGAAGCTGTGTTTTGAAGGTGGGGTCCTTTGATTTTCATGAATATCAAAAGAAATTTTCGACAAGTACCTACTTCTCAGCTTTCAAAAACATCGAGCGCAGATTTGTTCAAAGTCGAGATTAAAATATGATATGTATATCATATTTGTACAGATTGTGTGAAAATATCTTTGTTAACAACATTGCGCTCTATGTTTTCTACTAAAAAGTATCATGCTTTTGAATCTGTTTGGTGAGTACATTTACATAAGATTAACCTATTGTTGACCTGCTAAGAATAGATAATATGTCACGTGATTCCATACCGCCACAGGTAAATACCTCCGGAAAGCGTGTTTTCTCTAGGAAGCGACACATGTAGCCCGTATTTGAAAAGTGCAGTCACCAGCTTTTATTTTTTATAATTCAAAACAAGGTTCTATAGACTTCGAAGAATATCACAAACAAAGTTTTTTTCAAATTATGATTATCATGGACATATTTTAATTCTCATACATGTAATCGCAATTTTCCTGGGCATTGCGAAAATTTTCACCCCAAGAAAACCATTGTCAACCGAGGCGCAGCCGAGGTTGACAATGGTTTTCGAGGGGTGAAAATTTTCAATGTTACACTCAACTACATGCAATATTTATTATTTTATACTGAATGTTTTATAAAAATACAAAGTACAGTGGGCCGTGCGCGCATAAATTCCTCGCAGTCGCTATGTTTTGGAATGCCACCCGTTGTCAAGCAATGTTGACTGTTGCTACGCAGGAGGGCGTGGCTTCATTATTCAACGGGTAGTAGTGTTTTTTATCAAATGTTTCTCGACGAATCAGATTCGAGTAATTTACATGAAAGTATAATATCATAATGTACGAGTAGATGTATTACCTAAATAAATACATATTTATTCAATTTCTAGCGAAAAAGAAACAAACAAGCAAAAAATACCATAGACGCTACAATTTCATCACATTTAGCCAGTCTATAAAAAAGATTTAAAACAAATACACTGTACTGACCATTTCAATATTCAAAGCAACCATACACTTGTCAGGTTTAGGGGTGCATATAAATTCGGAAAAGACTTCGAATGTATATTAAATTTGAATTTCATTTACCAATCTTGTGATATTTATTATTAAGAATCCTTGTTATGTTTCTATTATCCAACAACTGTTTTTGAAGTGATTATACACATGTATATTACGCGATTTGTACACACCATGTATATTCTAAATAATAATCGATAAGTAAATCGGAATATTCATTGCGGAATTTAGAGCGAAATTAAGAAATGAATATACATGTCAGAAATGTAGTATCAGGGGGAGGGGTGACCGCTTCTTTTCAAAGATAAATCTTTAGTTCTTCACCCCCTCCCCCCCCCCCCAAAAAAAAATTATAAACGTTCTTACGCCTACAGGCAGATACGATATGACTAAACACATTGAAATTGTTGTTTTATTTTTCAAATAAAAATGAGAAATAGTTTGATTTCCACTCCTACATAATCATTTTTTTTCAAGTTTGGAAGAATTTACTCTTTTTCGTTTGCTTTATCAAACTTCTGTTCAGGTCTATTGTTTATTTTTTCTCAGCTCCCCTTTACAAAGGAAAGGGAGTGTATTTCTGTGTGTGTTTACCGTAACTTATTATTCGATTGCTTGTACTTTTTAAATTGCCATATGAAAGAAAATTAATATAGTGGTTAATATATTTGATAAATGCATTTATAGATTAGAAATAAAAAAAATGTGCTTTGGGGATTTTCAGACCAAAAATACCTCAAGAACTACAAGAAGAACCCTCAAACACGGCAAACTAAGAAGAATACGAATAGTGCAAAATAAAATTCAAGCTTATTGAATATTATTCTAACCCGTACATTTTCTTATCTCACGCTAACGCTCACCATGTCTTCCTTTATATAGTGCCTAATTTAAATGTCTCCGCCCATGTGTATGTAATAGAGAAACCGTACTCTGTTCGAAAGAAAATGTTCCGGAATGTGTATGTGCGGTAGGTGTTGCAAATTCGCTTTTGTTTCTTGATACTCAAAGTCGTTAATAATGATTGTACTAAATCTTAATCAGAAATACTATGTTATACACCATGAAAATAAAAATTATACCATATCCTCAAGCATTTTCTGTAAAATAAGGGCGAAAAAAGGGACCAAGCTACTATACTTAAGTGGAAAACTCTTTTTATTTTAAAGATGGCCTTCATGTATTAATAGAAAACGTAAGTAGATTTGCCGGGTATTTCCATTTTAGTTTGCTGCGATACAGACAGCCATTTGAAGAAAAAATTCAAAGTCAGGTAAAGTACTTAAGTTAATTATAAATCTGTTTGGATAAAATATCTGTATAAAAAAACTCATGTTTATAATATAATTGAGCAGATTGTATTAAGAAATCATGTTGCTTAAATGATACCATCTTTGTGTACACGTTATTTGTGAAACTCATTAACTGTTGTAAAATACCTTCATCATAACTTTTAATGTTTATAGCCAAACTAATAGATCTAGTACACTCCTGAATAGATTTTTAATGTCATATTACTGATATTAATTTCTTAAAAATATAAAAGGTAACTTATTTACCTGTCTTTTTGTAAAGAATGGATCCCATTCCCCATCCATCAGAGGTCCTGTATGTCGGTCTGTGTCGTAAAATAGGGACATCGACTGAAGTGGCCATCAGAAGGGATGTAAAGGACATGGATGAGATGATAACGAAAGCTGTTAATAATCATAGAGGCAGTGTTGTGATGAGAAGTGGCAGTTATAGAGATGGATTTAGGTTGAGATCATCTGACAGGGACACGATGTTCTGGAGTTGTAATTATGAATTAATAACTGACATCTCCCATTTCTGAATTAACAATACATAAAAAAAATCATGTATTTCTTATGGAGGATTCTGACACACCACCAGGATTTGTCAGACTACGTCTTCTGACACCCGTACATAAACAACCCATTTTTGTGAAACCATGTCTTATTGCTTTTAATGGCGGGATTTACTTATCTAGTTATATATTCATGGAAAACGTTTTTCGTGTTTATAGGAATAACAGGTCTTTTTCCTTCCACACAAATTTCACCATTCATGGCCCTTGTACAAATAGTTTTTTTTAAATCTTTTGAAAATGATTATGCTATTTGTTTTGCCGCTATTAGCAGCAGAAAATTCTTAAGAAGTTTGATGGAAAGATGCCAAAGACATGCTTGGCCGCCTGTACCTGTGTTAGAAAAAATTCTGAGAAATGGATGTCACTGTATGCCTGTTGGAAGTAAAATGGTTTCGGCTTATAACTAATTAGAATGGAGGTTATCGTTTTCTCAAGCCGAACACCAACTAGTGTGTACCATGAATCATACACAATTTCTATGTTATGGTCTTCTGAAAATATTTCTGAAGGAAGTTATGAATTACCGAAAAGAGACAATACTATGTTCATATTACATGAAGATCACAATGTTCTGGATGATGCAATTCGGAAACGCTAAATGGCACCCAAACAATTTACTCGATTGCTTTTGGAAATGTTACAAATTTCTCGTTCTTTCCGTTTATCGTGGAATGTTTCCTAATTTTTTTTATTCCACATAACATGATTATGAACAAACTAAATGGCGATACACGTGAATCTCTTTTACAACAGCTTTATCAGTATTACAGAATGGACGTGTCCAGTCTACTGCTGAGTCCGACTCTCAGATCAATCTTAGAACCAGCTCTGTGTAGCCCTTCCAATTTATTATCTTTTACTGAGAATATCACTGATATTGATGTGTGTGGCCGGAGTGAGATATTCAGCCTCCCATTTTCTATTAGAGAGACATCTGACTGTTACCTCCATTTGATATCAATTGATAAACTATCACGATTATCAAGTCAGTTATTAACATTACAGTTCTGTACCGCAAGTACTCTCGTTAATTTAGCCTTCAAAATGGCAAACAGTACTTTATTTGACAAACATAAAAATGTATATATCATAGATAGAATGATTTGTAACATGCTGAAACTTGCAGCAAAACTGGGCCCCTTGTCTCATTTATTATATTTAGCACTGTATTTCTACAGGACTGGGAGATACGTTGAAACACTACATATCACTTATCTCTCTAAAGAAAGAATGTCACAGGACTTTATTATGTATGAATTTTATAAAGTGGATAGGCTAAGGTATAACGAAGCTCTAGGTAAACTGTCTTTGTCCAGAAGGATGAATACAGCCTGGGTAGACACTGTGAGAATATATAATAAGATTTCATGTATTGTAGAATTAAGTTTAGAACAAAGTGTTAACCAACAAAATCGATTTCCGTTCTTATTTTTATCACCGTTTATAATAGTAGAGATGTTGTCTGTGTTATCTCAATATAGATTGGGTAATAGATCTCAGTGTTTACAGTCACTGACAGACCTACAGACACTGCTGCTCTATGATGACGGGACATATGTGCCTTTTGAACTCCGAGATATACACTGGCAGATACTAGGGATCTGTCAACATGCTGTGGGAGATTTACAGGAAGCTTTAAAGTCCTTTGAAGAGTCACTCAAACAGGAACTATACCATGGAATACAGGAAGCTACAAATATTAGAAAAAGATGGGTTAAAGGACAATTATACGGAAATATATAAACACAACCGCTGAAGAAAAATTTTAAAATGTTACATCGTAGTGGTCTGCGAGTTATACAAATGATATAACTGTAGGTAGATAGGTCAACCTAACTATTAACAAATACAATACATGTTTGTACATGGTTGGCATTTAAATAGGAAAACATTTTTGTAATTTTTGCGGTTCATGGTTTCAAAGTATATAGGTTAAATTGTATTATATATTTTTTGATATACATCAATTATTTGTATTTTGAACCACAGATCTTCATGTAAGCATACTTATTGATTTTATACAATTAATATAAAAATTGTAAAACCTTATTATAAGAGTATTATCATTTTTATTTTTCTTTGTTATTATTTTTTTCAAAACCGAATTCTAACAGTTTGTTTGAACGTCTATTCGCCAAAAACTGCAAAAATGTTGTCAATGGGGGATTCCAGTCTCTTCCTTCTAACATTAACATCAGAGTACTTGTGTGTAGAGTCAGAGTGGTTTTAAGGAAATCATTTTATTGATGACTAATCACAAGGTATAAAATTTTAAACCTCTATTTTTATTGAAGAAGCAAATCGTCTTTGATATCAAAAGCATACTTCTATTTAGAAATTTATCGCAAAATAATAAATGCATACATATATAGTATGTGTTTTGCTTTAATTTTTTTAATGTTTTGGAGAATTCATCTGATTTACAACACTTCTGGATTGTGTTGTAAAACAGTACGTCTGATATTTGTCCTTTACAGCAGTTAATGTTTTTTAAAGTTAGGTATAGGTAATAGGTAGCTAATTTGCTGAACCTGGTTAGGTTTCTTATTTGTAAGGATTTTTGGGAAGGTAACTAGGCATCTATAATGGATATAATGAGAAAAGTTACCTTACTGACTTAAATGTTTAAGTATTGAAAAATTGACCCGTGATTTAGATTAAGTTAATCTGATTCCTTAGAAAATGAACTACGAGCATAGCATCGATTTCCAGATGTAGGATAAAAAACAAATTTCTTAAAAATTCAGACATTGGTGATAGATAACAGGCCAGGGTTAGTTTGATGATTATGCATGAAATAATTACAAATCTCCTCTGAAAAAGGAGAATACATTTTAAAAATTATATTATTATTTTTCTTCTCCATCATGCAAGTATTATCACATCAATGGCTTTACTATTTTTTGGTACTTAATCATATGTAAAGATAAAGAAGAAATTTTCTTTTTAAAATTTTCTGTTTATTTGAATCAAACTAAAATTAGTTTTCTTACATGTATCATTTCCAAATTATGCCTGTGTCATAAATTGATATCTCCTATGTAGAATAAATATAGGTCTTTTGTACATGCGTCAAAATAGCACATGGGCTTTTTCTCTCTTGTCGGTATTTCTTGATAATAGAGAAAGGATCTTGGGTAGAAGGCAACCTTTTTTCAAAGCCATTTTTTTCAGTACCAATGTTTTACACTGCATTTTCCTTATATCACAAACAATTGTGGGGCTAACCAGCCTTTCAACGATTTCATATAGTATAAGTAATGTTTAAATAATGGAAAAAAGTCGGGGGGGGGGGGTAGGCCTTTTCCTGGCCCCCTGTTGCTACGTGCCTGAATGCTCATTCAAATAAGATTTTAATTCAAACTTACTTCCCAGCATCCATTCTATTAAAATAATGTTTGTACTCATGTCTGGTTGCTTGTGCAAGCTGGGTCTCTTATAGAGATTAAATCTATATTTAAAAAAATCAAATGGTATTCATTTGATAGAATTAAAAAAAATGGAAAATTTTTGGGTACTAGGAAAATGAATGATTCGATAATTTTTCGTTTGAATTCATGGATATTATTTTATTCATCTAAATTTTTAAAGCTCAGTTTAATTTACATCATATTTCTCAACTCCTTTTCATGTGCACATAATTATTTTATTTTACAAAGAATAGAGACCTACCATGATGTCTGAGTATCAAAAACTCTCAGAAGAAAAACATGGGGTCTCCTTCCTTAAGACACCCGGTGGTAATATGAATTGATAAGAGGCAATAAATAAGATTTTCAATATTTAAAAATCATAAATTATATTCTAAAAACATTTGTTGTGCAATATATAATGACATGTTTGAGTTTCGTATTTCTTTTACTCAATGCTATAGACCAAGTAAAGTTTTTTGTTCAAGCTTGTTGTTTACACTGATTATTGACCTTTATATCCAGGTAACTCTTGAAAGGAATTTATCTGAATCACTTTCCTTTGATTAATTTTGTCTGAAATACTTTTAAACTTAACTTTAGTTTTGAGGTTTTCGTAAGCATATGCCCTTTAAGATGCTTGTACTTCATAATTAATGTGTGTGAGAGGATGAGGGTGTGTGTGTATGGGGGAGGGTTAGGTAGGGGGTGTCGTTGTCTGACTGTGATTTAATTTTATGTTGGGACAAGAGAAGAAATATAACGAATATTCAGGTAGATAAACTAAAAGACGCACAGGCACATCAATAGTCCGTATACTTGAAATATAAATTAAGTACGAGATAAAAAATTACGATGTTTACATTGCTTTATGGTAAGAAAAAAGTAAATAATCTATTGATAAAGAAAAACGTAGTAACCTATATATAGGTCGCTCCCCTTTTTCAAAATGCCATCAGAGAATTTCGAAATACCATATCCCCCAATGATGACAAACAAAGGGGCTTTCCTAATATGTCCAGTGTGTTGGAATGAACTGATAAGGGAGAGCCGATAATATTCCCTCACAACCATGTCATTTGTATCAGGTCCCGGGCACTGTGAACAACATGGCGGATAAATTTTATTTTCTTCTCGTTGGAATTGTTTTGCAGATTTCTCTTGTTCTTGGTAGGTAGTTATGTAACATAGATAATCCTTTTTTAAATTTTATTCGTCTTAACCAAGCAGATTTAAAGATGTGATAAATTCTCGATAACTTGTAATTGAAAAGCAATTAATAGATTTTTATCTTTCGAAGTCAGAAAGTGGGGAAAGGGGTCAATTATTTTCAAGATGCATTTTCCTCTGATTAATTGCAAGTAAAAATAACTGCATGCATTTGTAGATTTCTTCGTAAATGCTTTCTTCGTGGTAAAATAAATTTAATTAGTTAACAAGTTTTACCCGATTTAATAGACGACAATTTGAAGGTAGAAAATTATGAATGTTAAGATACTCCAATGCTAAGATCCTGAAAATCGAGAATTGGGTAATTGAGAACGCTCACAAAAATACTTTGATTCGCATTTTCTTCAAATATATTTGAGGTTTAATAATATTCCCCATAAAGTATGATAAACTCTAATAATAAAATGAAGTAATACAATGGGTAAATAGTGTCTTGTGAATTCAGCTATACAATTTCTAATTGAAAATCGGTCAATAAAAATTGGTATCAAAGACTAGATTATAAGAAATTCCATTACTACAGAAATGCTTTTATTTTTTGTACTTTATAAGGGTAAAATATCAAGTTTTAAAAGACCGTTTCTATAACTTCAATGAATTTTAAATCATATTCAGAGGCTTAAAATGAAAAAGGGATACACCTTTGAAATCTGAAAGCTATAAAATGAAAAAAATATGGTCAATGTTCATGTATTTACGGACAAAGAGACAAACAGATAGACAGACGTCTGCTTGCCAAAAAATATACCTTTAGATTTTCAATTAAGGAGTATAAATTTCAACATCTTTAAATTATATTCTGCGTTTTCTTTTACCATTTAAAGTAAAATATCACGAAATTAACAACAAATCAACAATCAAAGTATTTATGAAAAAAATAACACGCAACAATAAACAAGTTGTATTTCTAGATAAAATTCTTTTGAGTAAATTTTAAAGCAATCTTAATTTTGCATGAAGAAAATGACTGTGAAATACTTTCATAATAAAAAAAATCATTGTATATTAAACCACAGAAATGATAAAATTTAAAAATTAAAAAAGGAATAGAAATCGATCTTAAATTGTCAATGAACAATATATATGTACAGATATGTAAAGAAGGCATAAAATGGTGACCTCTGAAAATTTCAGAAAATTAGATCAGATGCCTAGGATGAGTAAATATGCCCTGTTTACCGGCCATGCTTGTCATAACTGCTATGTATTGTTCGCGTAGATGCAACTATACGTAGTCAAATCAGTATAAAAACAAAGGGCTTACGATTTGTATGAAACAAATTAAGTCGGCCAAAATACGATTCAATGATAGGTTAAACATGTTTTTGCTGACAAGGTCATTACAAGGACCATAACATTTATGAAATCGATGCTAACTTCAAACGAGGCTGTCAAAATCCTTTTTATATTTTTATTCAACTTATATGTGGATGGCCTATCTTGCTTTAAAAATAGATCGAACTTAGAGAAAGCTCTTTTGTTACAGTAGCGAATTTACTTTGGAGGCATAGAAACCGGAACCAGGTGATAGTGGAATATTATTACATAAAAAGAACACTGATAATAGAAATGAAAAGCTTTATTTAAAAAAAACTATCCAGCATATCCTTAGTTTTTTTAAACATCACAAGCCTACTTTCCATCAAGCTGTGCCTTTCTCCTAATACTTTTGGGTTATCATGATGTTACTCCGGTTAATTCTATATGTTTATGATAATTATGTTTTGGAAATTGAAAATGTAATTTGAAGTAGAAAGTTAGAGTCGGAAGTCTACCCAGCTTCTAAGCTGCCATCAAAATGCTATGTTTATTTTAAAACAGAAGAACCCCGACTGTTTAAAAAGAAACTGAATGGAAAATTGACCAAAAAGATAGACCATGTGAACAAGGAATCAATCACTAATCAACCTGTTATTTGTATTCCAGGTTACCAGGCATGTTACTCGGATAGCCAGTGTCCTCTGTCTAACTACCACTGCTGTACGGGTTCTATTTACTGCTGTCCCTGGGGGTCAGTCTGTACCGGTACCATCAACTGCATCAGCATAGGGTAAGTCTGTACCGGTACAATAAACTGCATCAGCATAGGTTAAGTCTGTACCT